TGTGGGGTCCCGCTCCTGGGCTGCGGGATCGTAAACGGGATACGGAGCAGGCAGCACCACGGCGTAGCCGCGTCCCACACGTGCGCGTCCCCGTGCCCCCGGCACGCGGAGGACGACGCCGTCGCAGCGTCGGGAGCGTCGGTGGCTGCGGTGCCTCCCGCAGCATTTACGAGCTTGGCCGGAGCCGTGTCCCGGGGGTGGCCGTGGGCGGCCCCCACCTGGGGGTACCCCGCCGGGCACCCAACCCCAACCTTCCCCTTTCCACCTGCCGTGCCGGGACCGGGTCCCCACCTGCCTTCGCCCCACGGCAGGACGAGGACCCAGGCACGCCGGCTTGCTCTAACCATCCCGTCGCGGCACACGGCACCCCAAAATGTGCCACCGAGGCCGGGGCGGCGAGGGGCCGGGGGCCGAGGCGGGGGTCGGAGGCGCCGGTGCCAGGCGGTGAGTAAGCAGGAGCATGAGGAGGGGAGGTAATTAAAAGGGAGGCACTCGCCACAGCAAGTTCCCACAAATGAAGGCCCCGGGGCCATAGACACTGCACAACAAAGCACCGAGCAATTATTTGGCTCCAGTGGGAGGTGCTGGTCCCGTGGGGGCTGGAGCCAGCTGGGCACCCCGAGGCCTGGCAGACCTGGCATGGAGGGTGGGGAGTGGGGGGGGTCGGGGGGCCCCCCGGGCCCCCCCCCCAACCGGTCACGGCGGGGCTGGTGGCCCCTCGGCTGCAGGGCTGTAGTGGGGTGGGTGGTCTTGGAGGTGGGAGCGTGGGGAGCTCGGGGTGGGGATGTGTGGGTTGCAGCTGCTGGGCAACCCCCCCCCACCCCGCTTTGGCACCCCGACACCTGCAAGGGGACTGGGTACCCCAACACCCTCCAAGTACCCTGACCCCCTACCTGAGCACCCCAAACCCTTGTGAGGGGACTGGGGACCCCGAACCCCTCCGAGCACCCTGATCCCTGCAGGGAGATGGGGCACCCCAACCCCCTCTGAGCACCCCAAACCCTTCCAGGCACCCCAACCCTTGCAGGGAGACAGGGTACCCCCACCCCTGGGGGAGATGGGGTCCTTCAGCAGCGGTGGGGCTGGGTGACACCAGCCTTGGGGT